GGGGGGGGGGGCGGGGTGTGTGTGTGTGTGTGTGTGTGTGTGGCGGGTGTCACTCACCACGCGCTGCGCAACCTTTCCCCCTCTTCCTTCCTTAGTGGTGTGGGGAGGAGAGGATTCGAAGATCCTCACGTGCGGCGTACTTTTCTTTTTCTTTTTTTCTTTTTGCACGCAGGTTTTGCATGCGGGCGGCTGTAGGTTAAGGATGGGGGAGCCCCTGGGTGGGTTATCAGGTTTTACGGTGCTTCCAACATGTGCGAACGGTGGGAGAGCGGAGAAGAGAGCGAGCGAGGGCCCCGCTGTGTGAAATCCTGCCGTCAAAGCAACACTGGGGGAGGCAGGGTATAAATTTACCAGGTTAATGTAGCAATGGTGATTAATGCCCAGAACATTGTTTGCGGGTATTGGTGTGTGTGTGTGTGTGTGGTGGTGGTGAGGAGAGGTTGTCCTTTGAATGCGGAAAAGTAGGTGTGACCTTGTGTAGGAAAATAAAGAGATCCTTTTTAGCGTGTTTGGCTTCTTTGCCTCCCCTCGTTCGTTTTGATGTGGAGATAATGGCCTTCGGGCGGGAGGGGAAGAAAACTGTAGCTGGATCATTTCAAATTTCACTTACTCTCCTGCCTCACTTCAATATGTCTGAGCGACTCCAGATACTGGAAGACTTTTTGAATGAAAGTGTTACCTCCATATATTTTTTTAAAGAGGGCCACTTGGGGGAAAAAAAAGATTCTAAGGAATTCCTTGTTTCTTGATTAAAGAGAAGGCATTGAATATACTGTTCCTTGGCAGCCTTTTCAGTGTCCGGGTTTTTGGTGTGTGTGTGTGTGTGTGAGAGAGAGAGAGAGAGAGAGAGAGAGAGAGAGAGAGAGAGAGATCAGCTGTATTGAGAAGAGAACGTTTCCTGTGTTCTCATTTTATTTACAACATATTTTACGCTTAATGGTAAGCAATGAAAAATATTTTTAAAACTCATTTCTAAACTCCATAGCTATTGGCATATTCTTGGTTCAAAATTGGATTAGCTCATTTCAAAATTGTCCAAAGCAGAAAAGTGCGTCAAAAAAAAAAAAAGTGCAAAAGTGGAAGGTGTGTGGAAGCGGGGTAGTCTTATACGGCGAGTATATAACAAACTCTATATTTTGAGTGGAAATGTTGGGGGGTCGTCTTATACGCCCAGTCGTCTTATACGCCGGCAAATACGGTATATATATATATATATATACACACACACATATATATATACACACACATACACATATTATGTGTGTGTGTTACCATATATAATATGAAAATATATATTACTATATATAATATGAGAGAAAGATAATTTTGGGAAGTTGCATAGTGGAGGCTCCACATCTTTTAGCGCCAGCTTGCTGTTTTTCTGCATCTCCAGAAAAGAAAAGAAAAAAAGAAAGGAAAAACAGGCAACGAAAACGAACAGAATGTTCAAAACCTCAGAATGAATGAATGAATCGGAAACCGTGAAACCCAACCCGCGATAGCTTCTTCCCGCCTTCCTGAGGCGATAGCTTCTTCCCGCCTCCCCCCGTTATCTGAATAAGTCTACCGGCCGAGACTCAGACCTCGCGAGAGCCGAACGGGCGACTCGCTCGCGCGGGGCAGAGTTCTTCCCCCTGCTACGGAACTCTCGCGAGATTTGGGTGCCGAGCGCTCGCGAGACCACGAGGGCGCGGTCTCGCGGGACTTGGCTGAGGGGGCAGCGGCAGCGGCGGGCAGCCGGAGCGCGATGGCGGCCGAGCGGGGCCGCTGGCGGCAGCAGAACCAGGACGCTCCGGGGCAGCAGCGGCGGCGGAGGTGGCGGCAGCAACAGCAACAGCAGCGCTCCAGGCCCGGGCTGAGGCGGCGGCCGAGAGGGCCGGGCCGGGCCTGGCGAGGCGGCAGGGGGTGCTGAGGGGGGCCTCAGGCCTGCCGGGCGCCATGAGCCAAGGCAGTGGAAGCGGCGGCGGCGGTGAGCCGGAGGCCAAGGCTCTCCACACCAAGAGGCTCTACCGGTGAGCCCATCGTCCTCGGACGGCCCCGCGGGACTACAGGTCCCATCATTCCGCGGGCCAGGAAACCCCGCGCGTGGCATACCTCGCGGCTGTGTGTGTCTGTGGGGGGGGGGAAGGGGGGGATGAAATAAACGCCTCATCGCCCCTTCTCGGCCCGCATGTAACCATGCGGGACTCCAGCACCCATTATCCCCCGCAGGCGGAGGTGGAACGAGGGCACGTGGGTCCCTGCTGGCTAGCAGAGGAGGATGGGTAGGCTTATGATGATGATTTAGGTTAGTGTTAGCCCGCGGGGAAGGAAGGGAGGGCGGAGGGGGGGCGACTGTAGGTAGTCCTCAACTTACGACGGCCCGTTTAGTGACCGAAACTTAACGGGCGGTGAAAAACAGCCGCTTCCCCCTCCCCCTTTTATCGACCGTTGCAGTGGATCGTGTGATTGAAATATGGATACTCGTACTTTTGACGGTTGCAGAGTCCCGAGGGGGTGAGGGGTGTGTGTGTGAAGGAATCCCCTTTTGAGACCTTGGCAAAGTCAATGGGAAGCCAGATTCACTTAACGACCCGTGGGCCAGAAAGGCTGTAGGATGAGGCAAAAGCTCACTTAGCAACATCTATTTGGGGGGGGGGAGTTGGTTTTGGTCATTAAGTCGAGGCCTGCTACCTACCCGGCCAACATGGGGGCAGCGCTTTTTGGCATTGGAGGTCCTGCTCCGAAATGCAGCTGTGGAGGGCTGCAGGGACTGTCCCACCAGCGAAACACGTACCCATTTGAAACCCTCTCCCCATTGTCTCCAGCTAGTGCCCACGCTTTTTAACTCCTTGCCTGTCCCCTAAATCAGCAGCTAGTTTTTGTCACAGCCTCTGTGAAGGGGATGAAAGGGTAAACGGACAGCCTTTGGAGGGGGGTCCTTGAGGTTCTCCAAGCTTGGTGGTTTTCTTGTAGACGTTTCATCACCCAACTAGGTAACATCCTCAGTGCTAGAAGGGAAGGGGGGATGCGGAGAGGAGGAGGATTGTGGGGTCCTCAGTGGTCTCTGAGCTTGGTTCTTTTCTTGCAGACGTTTCATTACCCAGTATCAGCATCATCAGTGCAGTGATTTCATGACTTAGTTGGTAATCAAACATCTGCAAGAAAACAATGAAGCTCAGAGAGCACCCAGGATTCCAGAGTCTTCCTCCCCCTCCCCCCTGCAGACTTCACTCTCTTCTGGCACTGAAGATGTTACCTAGTTGGGTAATGAAATGTCTGCAAGAAAGCAAGCCATCTCAGAGAGCACCCAGGACCTCACAGTCTTTCTCGTCCCCACTGCAAGCTCCTTTCTCTTCTAGCACTAATGATGTTCCCTAGATTGCGGGAGTCTGGAGTGCATGTCACGCCAGATTAGGGGGCAGGCAGCCCACAGGGCAGTGATCCTCCTTTAAACCTACTCCACGATTTGCCAGTTGGCCATGCCTGGCTGCTACAGCCAGCAAGAAAAAATGTGGCATGTGCTCAGAGGTATCAATCAGGCAACTGAGCATCTTCCCTCCTGGATTCTGTGGGGATTCCCCAGACACCATTGATAATAGGTAGTTCCCAAGGACTTTACACAGTTCCCTCAACTTCTTCAAGTTAATTCCTGTTCTTCTGTGCCCTCCAATAGCATTCTCGGTTTTGGGTGAGAGGATATTATGCTCCTATTTTCCAGAGGTCTTAAAGCTATAAGTATCTCCCCCCCTGCCCCCCCGCCCCAAAAAAGCAACACACCATGACATGAATGTCAAGTCAAGGTTTTGACACTTGCCTTGTGAGGATGACTTTGCAAACACCACTCTTTATGCTGTGGTGCTTGAACATACTGGCTGGTACACTCTGGATGGCTTGATCTGTCACATTTCCTGGTTTTGGAATGCTTGGATTGTGGCCATTGAACTTGGCAGCTGGTGCCACTGTGAGGTCTTTTAATAGGCTTGCTGTCTGCAAAGGTCCCTTTATATCCTAGAGAAGAGCTACTTTTAAGCAGCAGCTGGTGGGGGGGTGTTAGTACAATTCAGCAATGTTCCTTTTGGGAAGGCAAAGAGCTTAGATTTTGCCTCCTCCTTTCTCCTCCTCCTCCCCCTCCTCTGCAAACCCCACTCTCTTCTAGCACTGATGATGTTCCCTAGTTTGGGTCATGAAATGTCTGCAAGGAGACAACCAAGCCCAGAGACCACCAAGGACCCTACAGTCCTCTTTCCTTCTCCATCACTACTCCTCCTCTCTGCAGTCCTCATTCTCTTCTAGCACATGATGTTACTTAGTTTGGGTCACCAAAGGTATTTTTTCAAAAGGCAACTGGACTGCCTTAGGGTTTTTTTTCTTGAAAATGTTTTGTTTCTGATCCAAGAAGCTTCTTCAGTACTGATTGCCTTTCAGGCAGAACTGAAGAAACGTCTTGGTTGAAAATGAAACATTTTCAAGGAAAAAAAATCCCAAGAAAGTCCAGTTACCTGTTGGAAAAGCATGTTTGGGACAACCATGATCTGGATGATCGAAAATCTCCATAGTCAGATTGGATTGTGGCTTTTTCTTGTCAATTGAAGCCATTGGGGGATGAGAAGTCTAATTTTACAGCCCTTTAGCTATGCATTCCAGAAAGGTGGCTGTCTTAGATTCTGATAGTAAAACCCACAATTGCACACTAAGCCAGGGGTCGCCAACCTTTTGGACCTCAGGGACCACCAAACTCATAATTTTAAATCCCATGGACCAGAGACCATGGGAAAATCCCCAAAAAAGTCTACAGGAAAATCCCCCACCCCGTTTTCCTACTGATCGATCGTTCTTTATTTGGGATCGCAGGATCCCGTCTCCAGCTCCGTTCTCGTGGGGGGGGGGGTAGAGAGAGAGACTTGGCTTCATGCAAGGAAAGCATCAGAAGTCTTTCTTTCCCTCCCCCAAACTCTGCCAGAAACGAGTCTTTGCTAGCGAGTCTTGGAGCAGGAGGCCTTGCAGGGTCCCAAAGACTCATTTCTGGCAGAGTTTGGGGGAGAGAAAGAAAGACTTTGGCTGCTTTCCTTGCGTGCAGCCAAAAGCAGAAGAAGAAAGAAGTGAAAAGAAGCAGCCCAATGGCAAGGCCAGGCGCATGGGGTGCGTGGGGCAAGTTCTTCCCCTCCACCCACCCTTCCCCTCACTACCTCATGTTGTTCCCAATGCAAGTGATGCAAGCCTTGGTTCCCATGGGCCCTGTGGGCGGCGCAGCCTTGTGTTCCCGCGCAGCCTGGATTAATTGCTTTGGGGGTGACATTTCTCTGCAGACCACCAAAATTTTCTCGCGGACCACCAGTGGCCCACTGGTTGCCGACCACTGCACTAAGCCATAAATTATTGTATGCAAATTGCTATGGGTTCATGTAACATGCTAATAGATAGTCAAACCATATTTTATTTTATTTATATTTCATACTTTCTTATCTGTTCATCTTAATCAGAGTGTTAGACCTGCCCCAAGTCAGGACCCTTAGGAAAGAAAAACCCTCGACTCCCATTTTGGGTGAAGTGATAGGTTCTTTTACTAAAGGTTGCTGGTTGCAATAAAATCAGGCTAGAACTATGAAAGGTTACATATTTTCCTCTCATCCCGGCCTTCCCTCTTCATGACCAGTTTGTCTTTAGCCAATGGTGAGTCGCATAGGTGTTTTGAGAATCACTGAGATGTTAGGGGCAACCCACATTCCACTCTCAGGGTATGTGGCCTTGAAGACTTGGCACAAACTGGTTCTGTGCCTCTGTCGTCTTCGTCAAGCTTTCATCCCCTCTTCCCTATTTCCAATTACATCTCCGTACATGTTTATTGCCCATTTGTCCCCCTCACCTCTAGCTTTTGATGGCAGAATGCCAGCAAGGCACCAAGCCAAACATGGCAGAAGTGACAGAAAGGTTCTGGGTGGGATGCAGAGGGTCTCTGGGTGGTATATAACAGCTTCACGTTATGTCTGAGCCCAGCTGAATAATTTCCGAACAACCCTTCTTCCTAACTTGAATGCCTCCTGTGCTTTTCGTAGAGCTGTGGTTGAAGCAGTGCATCGATTGGATCTCATTCTTGGAAACAAGGCAGCTTATCAAGAAGTATTTAAGCCAGAGAACATCAGCCTGAGAAACAAGTAAGAAAGTTGGGATTTCTTTATTCCATGTTCTGCATTTCAACCACACATGAATGGCCTTGAAAAAAGGACAAAGATGCAGCAGTGTTACTCACATTGAACAAGTCTGGATAAAGTATTTGGGAAAATTTAGTTCCATTGAAATACAGAATATGATAAAAACGTATTCCTCTGCAGCAAAACTAGCTTGCTATTCATTCATTCATAGCAAAGGATTCTGTCTAGGGCTTATATTCCGGAGTTTCAGCCTCAATGTAATTCCATTGCACAGAATATTGTTTGGAAGCAGCTTCCTAGATAAGCAGCCTCGTAATCTCAGTTCTAGCTCCTGCTTTGCAAATTGAGTGGCTTTGATGGGTGGGGAAGATACTTCCTGGCTTTCAGCAAAATGCAGTTCTTAGTCTTCGAAAATTGCAGTAATACTGCATAGACATTGTGGCACAGTGCTTAAAATGCAGCATTGCAGGCTAACACTGCCCACCGCCATCAGTTCGATCCTGACCGACTCCAAGTTGACTCAGCCTTCCATCCTTCCAAGGTCGATAAAATGAGGGCCCAGATCGTTGGGGGCAACAGGCTGACTCTGTAAACTGCTTAGAGAGGGTTGTAAAGAAGTATATAAGTCTTAAGTGCTATTTCTAGGAAGGAAGGAACGAAGGGGCATGATGGTGCAGTGGTTAGAATGCAGTATTGCAGGCTACCTCTGCACACTGCCAACAATTTGATCCTGACCGGCTTAAGGTTGACTCGGCTTCCATCTTTCCGAGGTGGGTAAAATGAGGACCCAGATTGTTGGGGGCAAGAGGCTGACTCTGCAAATCATTTAGAGAGGGTATATAAACCTTAAGTGCTATTGCTATACAAGGAGCTTGCTTATGAGCCAAGGGATCTTGAAATCATCCCACTGGCAGCTTATTTGTCACAGCAAGATCTGAGGAAGTGAGGTCCTTTTGGTTCCTTCCCTCAGATCTTAGGCACATAGATATGATTAGGACTTTATTTATTATTATTATTTTTAAAGTACTTTTGAGACAAATTGTGAGCAGCTTCTCTCTCTCTGCTCTTCCTTCCTGCCCTAGGCTCCGTGAACTGTGTGTAAAGCTGATGTTCCTGCACCCTGTGGACTATGGGAGGAAGGCAGAGGAACTGCTGTGGCGGAAAGTTTACTACGAAGTCATCCAGCTGATTAAAACAAATAAAAAGGTATGCGATAACCCAACAGGGAGCCACAGCAGAGAGCCCAAAAAGCCGCAGGTTGCTGTCTAACCTTTTGCCTTCTGTGTTGGAGGCACTGTTGGTCTTTTTGTTTTGGTGTGCATTTCATTTGGATGATAACCAAATCACTCCGTGACTGTTAGAATAGGAACAGAACAGAATAGAATAGGAGAATAGAATGCAGAATAGAATAGCATGGAATAGCATAGAATTCTTTATTGGCCAAGTGCGATTGGAGACACAAAGAATTTATCTTGGTGCATATGCTCTCAGGGTACATAAAAAGAAAAGAGACATTCGTCAAGAATCAAAAATCAGGTACAACACTTAATAATAGTCATAGGGTACAATAAGCAATCAAATCATACTAGGAAACAGTCAATTTTATGGTTGACTAGAGACGAGGAAGATCAATGAGAATAAGGAATGATTATATGTATATATTCTATTTAAAGTTACAGAGGAGAATTATGTAATATTACTATTGGATTTAGCGAAGTAATGACAATAATTGATGTTAGGGAGACTGTACCACGTTCAACTTTTTTATTGTAAGAATTGTCCGTCTTTGTGTTTGTTTAATTGTTTAATAAAGAAAACTTTAAAAAAAGAATAATCAGGTACAGCACTTAATGATAGTCATAGGGTACAATAAGCAATCAAATCATACTAGGAAACAGTCAATATAAATCGTAAGGATACAAGCGACAAAGTTATAGTCATACAGTCACAAGTGGGAGGGGATGGGCGATAAGGAGTGATGAGAAGTTTAATAGTAATAGTAATACAGTCTCACTAGTTAATTTGACAGTGTTGAGGGAAATATTGGTTTAGCAGAGTGATGGCTTTCGGGGGGGAAACTTCCCTTGTGTCTAGTTGTTCTGGTGTGCAGGGCTCTATAGCGTCGTTTTGAGGGAAGGAGTTGAAACAGTTTATGTCCAGGAAGTGAGGGGTCTGTAAATACTTTCACAGCCCTCTTTTTGACTGTTCAAAGCAATACAACAGCATTGAAAAATGTGGCTGTTTTCCAGTTACGACCTTGGCAGCATCTCAACGGTCATGGGATCAAAATTCAGGTGCTTGGCAACTGGATCATATGGCTGTTGTCCCGGGATCCCCTTTTGCGACCTTTTGACAACAAAGCCAGATTCACTTAACAACTGGGTTACTAACTGAAGTGGCAAGGAAGGTTGTAACATGGGGCAAAATCAACTTAATAAATGTCTCGCTTAACAACATACATTTTGGGCTCTGTTGTGGTCGTAAGCTGAGGACTGCCTGTAATGAAAGAAGCTAGAGCTAGATTTCCCTAACTTCCTCTCTTTGTTTCCCCATCCGCAGCACATTCATAGTCGGAGCACCTTGGAGTGTGCTTACCGGACTCACCTGATTGCCGGCATCGGGTTTTACCAGCACCTGCTTCTCTACATTCAGTCTCACTACCAGCTGGAGTTGCAGTGCTGCATCGACTGGACCCACGTGACGGATCCTCTGATGGGTCAGTGCTTCTCAAGATTTGATCCTGTGCAAGAGCAGTGGCTTGGCCCACCTGGCCTGTTGGTGCTTTTGCGATCAAGAATAACACAGTAGGAAGGGACTTTGGAGGTCTTCTAGTCCAATCCCCTGCTCAAGCATTCCAATCTCTTTTAAAAAACCTCCAGTGATGGGGCAGCCACAACTCCTGAAGGCAAGCCGTTCCACTAGTTAATTGTTCTCACTGTCAGGAAATTTCTCCTTAGTTTCCACCCATTTTATTTATTTATTTGATTTGTCAGTCGCTTACAAGATAATAGGTATAAGAATAAACATGAGTAGGAATATAGGAAATAGGTACAAATAAATGGGGACAATAGGGCAGGGATAGTAGGCACGATTGTGTACTTGCGCACACCCCTTACAGACCTCTTAGGAATGGGGTGAGGTCAATGGTGGATAGTTTGAGGTTAAAGGAGTGAGGGTTAGAGGATGTGACAACAGTCAGGTAGTGCATTCCAGGCATTGACCACTCTGTTGCTGAAGTCGTACTTTCTGCAATCAAGTTTGGAGTGGTTTACATTGTGTGCTCTTGTATTGTTGTGGTTGAAGCTGAAGTAGCCATTGACTGATAGGACATTGTAGCAGATAATTTTGTGTACCACGCTTAAATCCAACCGTTGGCGGCGTAGTTCTAGGTTGTTCAAGCCCGAGGACTGCCTGTAATTCTTCCTTTCTTCAAAGAAAGAAGCAACCTGGAATTAAGGAGAAACTTCTAACAGGGAGGACAATTAACCAGTGGAACAGCTTGCCTTCAGAAGTTGTGGATGCTCCATTAGAGAAGGCTTTTAAGAAGAGACTAGACAGCCAATGTGACATTGTATAGGTTCTCCTGCTTGAGCAGGGAGCTGGACTAGAAGACCTCCAAGGTCCCTTCCAGCTTCTTTTCTTCCCCCTTCCCTTCTTTTTTCCAGCCGTCTGGTGCTTTGGAGAATAAGTTGTCCCTCATCTTTGGGGCAGCCCCTTAGATATTGGAACATGGCTATCATGTCCCCGCTAGAGTGACATGATAGCAGTGAGAAGCACACTTGAATTATTTTTTCCTGAAGAAACAATTATGTCAGCTCTGCTGTCTTCGCTGTGCCCTATTAAGCTTGCTGGCATCCTGCCATAAATGGGAGAAGGGAGGTCAAGAGTAGTAAAGAGGGGAGAGATGTACAGGAAGACAGGAGATGCATGCATGGTGGGGAGGATTGGCGCTTACAGGAATCAGACATATTAAACAAAACATCACACCAGCATCCTATTGGACAGTGATGATCCGGTCAAGCGGGGACGGCCACGAACAAGGGAGAAACTTCTTTACATCAGTTCTAGACTTGCTTTCTTTGCAATCACTAATTCTTAGTAAGAGAACCTGTCAATTCAATCATGTAACAACCGTGTTACTAAGTTAACAATTGCAGTGATTCGCCTCTAACAGCTGTGGAAAGAAAAGTCGTAAAATTAAGAGAGCCTCGCTAAGCAAACCAAAATTTTGGGCTCCGTTGTGGTCATAAGTCGCAGACTACCTGTACTTTGGAGAAACTTTTTTTTCTTTTATTCCCTTGAGTAAAAGAAATCATTTAAAAACATTTTTTTCAGCCTATGGAAGTTCTTGAATAGTGAATAGGCCGCAATAGTGAGCCCAGTTGGAATATTGCTTCCAGTTCTAGTTGCCATGATGCAAAAAAATAAGCTGAAACCCTAGAAAGAATGCAGAAAAGAGCAACAAAGATGGTAAAATGTCTGCAGGCTAAATCATACGATGAACACATGAGGGAGCTAGGTATAGCTAACTTATCGAAGAGAAGAAGAAGCAGTTTTCCAGTACAGTGCCACAGAGAAGAGGGGGGTCAATTTGTTCTCCAAAGCACCTGAGGACAGAACAAGAAGCAAGAGGTGGAAGCTAGTCAGAGAGAAAGATCTAACCTGGGACTAAGGAGCAATTTCCTGACAGTGAGAACAGTTAACCGGTGGAACAGCTTGCCACCAGGAGTTGTGGGTGCTTCATCATTGGAGGCTTTCAAGAAGACACTGGACATCCATTTCTCCGGGATCCTGTCTTGGGCAGGAGGTTGGAGTAGAAGCTCCACTTCAGCTCTATGGTTCTATGAAATCAATCGTATAATGTAACAGTTGAAATTTCAAGATGGACAGTTGATAATAGCAAAATGAATACATGTAAGTTGTAAAGTATACAGAAATTATTTTCAAGATGTGGTTTGTGGGGACACCACAGTAGGTTTTCTATGGTGTAGATATCCTTTTTTGGGCGATGGCTAGCATTTCAGATAATTTTGGTGTCAGTATGCAGAGCCTCCTAAAATTTGGTCTGTATATTTAATTTTTAAAAAACGTTATTGAAAATTAACCTTAACACGAGGGTTCTGCAGACATGGTCTTTCTTCTTGGGGTTTAATGCATATTATTTTGCTCTTGATTTAAAAAAAATGCAGTTTGGTATTGGATTATTGGGCCACACATAAAAAAATAAAATTGACAGCTTAGAAGTCCTCCTAAATCAAATAATTTGGGAACTGGTAACCTAAAGAATAATTTTGCATGACATTTGCATGCTTATTTAAGCTATCTCACACTAGCTTCTAATTTAATTGGACAGTGTTAAGTGTAGCTTTAAAAGGGGGGAGGGAATGGATTTTATTGTTATGTTTCTTAATCTCAACTTTATTGTAATCGCCTGACAGTCCTCAACAGTTTTAAGTGAGATAGACTTTTCCAGATTAAAAATTGCCTTGGGAAAGAGAATAACCACAGCTTGATTAGGTAACCGCTAATCACATTTGCGCATTTTCAGCCCATGGCTGGTGAGAATCTGTCAGGCTGTTGCCCATCGTAACTTGCTAGATGACAAGTGTCCTTGGCAACCGTTGCTGTGAGCATCTCCCTGGCATTACTGTAGAATTGATGGAGTGTGTGTGTGTGTGACAATTTTCAGGCCCACACTCGAATTCTTTGGCTTTTGGCATCCTGGTTATATCTTCAAACAGAGGTCTTCAAACTTGGCAACTTTAAGACTTGTGGACTTCAGCTCCCAGAATTCTGGGAGTTAAAGTCCACAAGTCTTAAAGTTGCCAAATTTGGGGATCCCTGCCTTAAAATCTCACCCAAATCTCTGTAAAAGCCCTTGACTGCACAGAGAGTGAGTTACAAACTCTCCCAAAATGTGACAGCGAAGCTCAAAAGGAGCCCATTTTAAGAAAACCTTTTGGCCAGCTTTTCCCAAACTCTTTTTTTTAAAAATAGAATGAGTTCCCCATCAAGTTACAATCTACCAAAATAAAAATGAGAACACATTCTACAATCAATGAGTGTTGCTGATTCTGTGCCATGTTCGCAGCCCTGGCAGTTAAATTTATGATACAGTTATCTTAGATCATAAATTGCACAAATAAACATCCCAACAATAGGATAATGAAATTTGCAGACGATACTACGCTTGTAGGACTTATTTCTGGGGATGATGAGTCTGCATATCGGGATGAGGTACTACAGCTATCCCGCTGGTGCAAGAATAATAATCTTCTATTTAATATTAAGAAGACCAAGGAGGTTATAGTGGACTATAGGAAAAAAAGAGCAGACATTCAGCCACTGTATATAGAGGGAGTTCGTGTGGAACAGGTGATTGAATGTAAGTTTCTCGGGACCATCATTACAAATGACCTGACTTGGAGCGCAAACACCACTGCTTTAATTAAGAAGGCACAACAACGGTTGTATTTACTAAGGATTCTTGGGAAACAACAACTGGCTGAGAGTCTACTGACTACCTTCTATCGGAGTTCAATTGAGAGTATATTATCCTACTGTCTCTGTGTATGGTTCTCGAGCTGCACATTGGCAGAGAAAAAGGCAATTCAGAGGGTGATCAAGACGGCCCAAAACATCATTGGCTGCTCACTCCCCTCTTTGGAAGAACTGTATAGGAATAGATGTAAGAGGAAGATACTTAATATATTGAATGACTCCTCTCATCCGGGACATCAGCTCTTTGAACTATTACCATCGAGAAGGAGATTTAGGGTATTAAGAACAAGGACGACCAGATTTAAGAACAGTTTTTATCCAAGTGCAGTTTTGAGTTTGAATGCAGGGTTATAAGATTTTTGTGGAATTTAAATGGCTGAGAGTAATGGGGTATTTACATTTTTAAATTGCATAGAGATTATTGTATGGTTGGTTGTGTTTAGTTCAATTTTTTTCTTTTAGTGGTGTTTGTCCAGTTTTACTTTGTGGAAGAGCACCTCATTTCGTTGCACCCGTTAGCGAGTGTAATGACAAATTCTTATGTCTTATGTCTTAAATGATGTCATGTAAAACTATGAAGTGTACATTTACACAACTGGCTAAACCAAAACCAAGCCACAGTTTTATAGTTGAGTCTTGTGGGTGAGCCAATCCTGTGTAAGTCCTGTTCTGTTCCCTTGTTTCCTTTGGTTTTGCCTTTTTGTTGATGTTGTTGTTGCTTTTTTGAGCTTAAGAAGCTCCCAGAATGTAAATTGTACATTCTGCAGGTGGGGAACACATATGGGTGGAGTGGCTTCGCTAACCTTGCTTTGCATCCTGCCGTAAACAGAGGGAGGGTGGTCAAAACAATTTTGGGAATATGTGCAGGAAGCTGTAAAGGGGAGGGGTGGAGGGAGGGAATGGCATTGGCAGGAACCAGAAGTGTTAAACCAGATTGATCCAGCCGCACAAGGATGCCTGGGCAAGGAAAGAATGTGAAGTTGTTTCAAGATGCAGCGGTTTCCAAAAAATCAAAACCTTCACCCCCAGTTGCTATTGGATACTGATAATCTGGTCAAAGCGGGGAGAACCATGGAAGGGGGAAAACATGTAACCTGTGCATGGGAATACTCAGTTCTAACCTTGCTTTTACTGCAACCACTAATCCTTAGTAAAAGATCCTATCATTCCAATCAAACGGAGTCGAGGGTCTTTCTTTCCTAGGGACCTAGCTAGGGCAGGTCTGACAATGAGCCAAAATAAGCTTTGTGATGGTAGATCGGTAATTGATTTTCCAGCATCTTGTTCTAACGCTATGCCACCCTGTTGATTATTTCTTCCACAGGTTGCAAGAAGCCAGTCTCTGCATCAGAGAAGGAGATGGACTGGGCTCAGATAGCCTGCCACCGATGTCTGGTTTACCTGGGGGATTTAGGTGAGAGAGAGCATTTTCCTGGGATAAAATCCTGAGACTTGGATTTATTTGAAATCAGATGGGGAAAAACGCCCTGTCTAAGGAGCAGGCCATATTGGTTGAGGTATCTAAAGTTTGTGATAAGCCCCTTGGGACTTTGATTTTATTTTTCCACTGCATTTTGTGGATTAGGAATCTCCTACTGTCTGAAGCATTTCCAGATACTTGGCTGCATAAAAAGGATTAGCATATTTTCCTTTCAGTTGGGCATCAGTTCTCTCGTGCTAGTTAATGACTGCAATAAAGTAATTTATCTACTTTCAGTCAGGTGGTATATATGGCTTCCCTATTTCATTCTTGCATATAAACCAAGTCAGGTATCTTCTGATGTGTATCCTCTGAATTGTGTTTCTTAAGGCTTCTGTATGTCTTTTGTGCCTTATCAGCTCGATATCAGAATGAATTGGCAGGCGTGGACACAGAATTGCTGGCTGAAAGATTTTACTATCAAGCTCTCTCTGTCGCCCCACAAATTGGTGAGTATTTAGTAGTCCAACACACACACGTAAAGGTATGCACCAATCAAACATGCACGCATGTATTTTGTAACTGAGCACAAATAGAATATGAGTCAGCAACTTATCTAGCATCAAAAAAAAAAAATCCTGACCAGTACGTTAGACAAACTACCTCTCCAAAATTTGGCTCTGCAGGTAGTCCTCATGTCAGCGTTCCAGAAAACTTCCACTCCAACAAATAAAACTCAGACATCTTCTCAAAAGTTCTGTTTCATTTGGATAGTAAACTGGCACATCTGGGAAATCCCAAATCTGAAAGTTCCAGGTTTCCTTGCAATAAGTAAAAATGTACAAATCCATCCCCTGTACCCATCATCGCATCACATGCCCCAATCACCATCCGTCCCAGCTTGAGACATCCTCTCACCCAGGTGCAGAAAGAACATGACCTTGACTTAGAAGAAAAATGCTATTATGTCTAACCACATACACTCCAAGAAACTCCCCCCTCCCATTTTTCCAGGCTCAAGAAAGTGTCTGGTGCTAATATGGCTTCCAAAGCTGACACCTCGACTTAACAACAGTTCGTATAGTGACCGTTCGAAGTTACGACAGCATTGGGAAAAAGTGACTTATGACCATTTTTCACACTGACAACCATTACAGCATCCCCACAGTCACCTGATTTACATTCAGACGCTTGGCAACTGACACATATTTACGACAGTTGGAGTGTCCCAAGGTCATGTGATCCCCTTTTGCGAACTTCTGATAAACCAAGTCAGTGGGGAAGCCAGATTCGCTTAACAACCGGGTTACTAACTTATAAATGACAGTGATTCACTTAACAACAGTGGCAAGAAAAGTCATAAAATAGGGCAAAGCTCATTTTTAACAAATGTTTCGGTTAACAAATGTTGGGCTCAATGGTGGTCATATGTCGAGGACTACCTGTATTTATGGCGCTTGCAGCATTGTGGGGTCACATCATCGCCATTTCCAACCTTCTGAACAAGCAAAGCCAATGGGGGAAGCTGGACTTGATTAACGACCACATGATTCACTTAACAACTGCAGTGATTTGCTTAACAACCATGCGCAGTCAATGGGGGAAGCTGGGTTTGCTTAACAACTGTGTAACTCACTTAAGAACTGCAATAATTTGCTTCTCAACCAGGGCAAAAAAAAAAAGCTCATAAAATCAGATGTGATTCACGTAACAACCGCCTGGCTTAGCAGTGAAAATCTGGGCCCAATTTTGGTTGTAAGTCGAGGACTATCTGTCCTGGCTCTGGTGCCACAGTAGGACATTAACATAACATTAGGCATCAGGTCCCATGCACACACCCTGGCCCAGGAAGCCCTGCTTTAAATGCAGACCGAAGAATCTGTTGTGATTGTGAAGAATAAGTTTGGAAGCACACTAGATGTTTGTGTCTTTAGATTGTGTCATAATGGAATGTGTTTGCTATGTTTTCTGTCTTTGGGGGACAGGGATGCCTTTTAACCAACTTGGGACGCTGGCTGGGAGTAAATACTACAATGTGGAAGCTACCTATTGCTACCTGCGCTGGTAAGTGTGTCTCCCACGGAAAAGAAACAGTTTATAAAAGGCAGCTTCCCTTATTTTACTGGTCTAAAGAAAATAAGAATTAGGGGTGACATGATAGCAGTATTCCAGGATTTGAAGGGATGCCCCAGAGAAGAGGGGGTCAAATTATGCTCCAAAACACCAGAGGGGCAGAACAGAAACAGTGGTTGGAAACTCACCAAAGAGAGAAGCAACTTGGAATTAAGGAGAAACTTCCTAACGGTGGGGACAATTAACCAGTGGAACAGCTTGCCACCAGAAATCGTGGACGCTCCATCACGAGGCTTTTAAGAAAAGTCTAGAGATAGTCACTTATCTGTAACAGTATAGGTTCTCCTACTTGAGCAGGGGGCTGGATTAGAAGACCTCCAAGGTCCCTTGCAGCTCTATTCCATTCATACTTAGGGCATGAAAACCTCTCTGTCCAGTAGACTATGCTGGCTGGACATGAACTGTGCTGTTTTTTTGTTTTTTTTCCTATCTCCCCAATAAGGCAACTCTGGCTTAGAGCTATTCAGCGGGAGAAATGTCCACTTTCTTCCCCTCTCTATATTGGGCAAGACAAACAGGATCATTCTTCCTTTTCTGCTTAGGCAGAGGGCTGGATTAGAAGACCTCCATTCTCTGTTGTTCTGCTATTTTGTTATTCCTTTTTAGGGAATTGAGAACTTTATGAAGGAGGATGTCTGAGGCCAGAGTGGATGGAACTGATGCAATGGCTGGGGCAAAGGATATCCCTCCAAATCTGAGCTTATTCCTTATTTATCTGTGTTTCTCAAACCTTAGCAAATTTAAGACATCTGAACTTTACTTCCCAGAATTTGCTAGCCAGCAATTCAAGGAATTCTGGGAGTTGAAATCCAGACGCCTTAAAGTGGCCAAGATTGACAAAGATGAAAAGCAAATCAGGGAGAAATGGAGCTTGACTCATAGAAACTCTTGCAAAGTAGCCATTGTGTTTTTGGGAGGAATTGTTTTATTCCCAGCTCATGTTTCCTAAACAGAAAGGTGGCAGGTAGAGTTAGATTTGCATAACACCTGGCAAAGGTTAGCAATATGGCGTTAATAGCCTCCAAAGTACATGGATCATTTTCTGGTGGCCCCCTTAACTAAATGAACAAGAGTTTGGGTGAAATTTCAGCTACCTTTAAAAAATAATAATCTTTACACCTGGCATTTTTGCAGTGGCTTCCATTGCCTGGAACCTGGTTTCTCTGCAGAATGTAGGTTTGGTTGATCTCAGATTCCCCTTAAGGGGCACACTCTGATCATGAACTAGCTTAGATGTTTCATGAGCAGACAGGCAATATTCGTGGAAGGGAGAGAAACTAAAGTCACCAGAGTAAAACTTCTGAAAGGGGAAAGAAGGGAGGGAGGGAGGGAAGGAAGGAAAGAAAGTAAGAGGAAGGAAGGAAAGGCAGGGAGAGAGGAAAGGGGTGAAAGAAGGAAGAGATAGGTTTAAGGAAGGAAGAAGAGAGGAAGGGAGAAAAGAGGGAGGGATGAAGGAAGAAGGAAAGAAGAGGACAGGATGGAAGGAAGGAAAGAAGGAGGGAGAAAGAGAATTAAGGCTGTTTCTTGGAGAGCCTGATTGAGAAAATTAATTTTTCTGCTCCCCTGTTTAGCATCCAGTCGGAAGTGTCCTTTGAAGGCGCTTACGGGAATCTGAAGCGCCTCTATGACAAGGCAGCCAAAATGTATCACCAGCTGAAGAAATGCGAGACCCGGAAGCTGTCCTCAAGCAAAAAAAGGTGAGAAGGCAGCTTCCCCCACTCCCCGGGGCCCCCCCTCAAGGATGACTTGGCCTCCCGTTGCCATTCAAAGTCAGACACAAAGTGGAATGGCCGGTCAGTAATCAGATGGACAGCTCTTGCTGTATTTGGGCACTGAAACTGGACTGCCATCTGTCAGAAATGGTGTAGGATCTCCTGCTTGGGCGGGGGGGGGGGGGCGGTTTGGACTAGATGACCCACAAGGTCCCTTCCAACTCTGTTAATCCAGCCCCATACCTATTTAAATCTGCCATTTTCTGACTCTTTTTCATGGGGGAAGACATGGGGGGAGGGTGGTTGTGTGGTTGTTTGTTTTTGTGGGGGGGGGGGGGGGCAGTGTTTTTCAAGCTTGACAACTTTTAAGGTGGATGGACTTCCAATTCCCAGAATTCCTTAGCCAGCTGGGAACTTGTTTTAGAGCTTTTTTTAAAAAAATAATTTTTATGTTTATAACAAAAACAAAAAATAAAACCATCTTTCAGTTATGTAGTGTGCTGACTGGGTACATATATCTTGTGCACATATCAATATTTGTATACATTTCTTATTAAGTTTACACTTGCGTTATAGTCTGTTCAATATTATACAGTATATCATAATATATCATCATTACAATGTCATTTAATTTCTTTATTTTCCAACCATCCATAAAATAAATCCCAAATCTTATAATACTCCATTTCTTCTTGTTCTCTAATTGCCAATGTTAATCTACTCATTTCTGCACATTCCAGTATTTTCTTAATCTCCTCCTCCATCGGTTAATCTCCTCCTTCTCCTCCTCCTTCATTTTTCCAATTTTGAGCAAATACAATTCTAGTTGCTCTTAGTATCCAGCTTACCCAATCAGCTTCAGCTGACAATTTGCAGAAAAAATCACCTGTCCCAATGATATTGGGAAATGATGCGAAGGGCTCCTTTTAGCCAATTTAAATCGTTTCTGTTTTATACCTTTGGTCCTGCTAGCGCTAGGTCATAATTTATAACAGGGAAGCCCTGGGGCAGTAATCTTAGGTTAGACCTGCCCTGGGCAGCCAAAGCTTCACTCTGAGAAAACCAGTTTGTTTGGCATAAAACAGTCCTTGTATGTGCAAAGGTATACACTTAGTTCTGACAGTTCATTTAGTGACCGTTTACAACAGTGACTTAGGACCATTTTTCAACACTTTAACGACCATTGCAGCATTCCCATGGTCACTTGCTAATAATTCAGACACTTGGAAACTGGTTCATATTTATGACGAACTTCTGACAAGCAAAATCAATGGGGAAGCCAGATTAACAACCCTGCTACTAATTTAACAACTGCAGGGATCCGCTTAACCACTGTGGCAAGAAAGGTTGTTAAAACAGGACAAAACTCGCCAAGGTTTCCCTCCAGTCATTTTTTTTTCCCTTGCCAAAAGTAAACGAATGAAAAATTCATGAACTATGTCTGACTTGTATCAAAACCTACTAAATGCTCTCTTTCCCCACCCCTCCCCATTCTCTCCAATTTGGCAGGTGCAAAGACATTAAAAGGTTACTGGTGAGCTTCATGTATCTACAGAGCCTCTTTCAGCCAAAGAGTAGGTAAGTCTCCTCTGTGAAACCTTCTGATGCTGTAAATGCACCTATTGAAGAAAAATTTCACCGTGGCCTTTCCTTGGTGGGAGCAATAGGGCTGGTCTACTCCACAGGAGACTTCTGTGCCCCTGCATGGCGTAACAGCTGCCACCCTAATAGCACAAGCCCTTAGACTTATATCCCACTTCTCAGTGCTTTACAGCCCTCTCTAAGCGGTTTACAGAGTCAGCCTTTTGCCCCCAACAATCTGGGTCCTCATTTTACCGACCTGGAAAGAACGGAGGCTGAATCAATCTTGAGCCTGGTGAGATTTGAACTGCCAAATTGCACTCAGCTGGCAGTCAGCAGAAGTAGCCTACAGTACTGCACTCTTAACCACCGCACCACCATGGTTCAATGAATTAGTTACTATGCTATTAATGATACCCTGTGTCAGACTTGCCCCAGTCTGATCCCTTTGGGGAAGAAAAACTATCGACTCCCATTTGGCTGAAGCAAGAAATACTTTTACTAACCAATCCGACATCGCCCAGGTGTTTTGGGAAACACTGGAGTGTTTAGCCTGGTGATCTTGCAGTTGTAGGGGGTTGTGTGTGTGCTGTGGGCTCTTTGTTCAGATGCTGTGGGCCCTGTTTCAAGATTGTCTCCCCTGACAGATTCTGGAAATTGGCTTATTGTGACGTTGCCGTGAGGACCCTGTTTCAGGTTCTCACACCTTCCCCCATCTCTGTTAGGAATATAAGTCACCTAACAGCTATTTGGGTTGGACAATATATAAACCAGGATAGACATTTTAAAACTGTATCTTTAAAAAATGTAATTGGGTGTGGTTTCTCAAACGGCCATAAGATGGAGCCAGAAACCTGGGTTGTCTTAGTCTTAGTCTCAGAAGAGAATGTGAGTGAGTCTCTGTTTCCTTCTGTTGGAGATAATTGCCATTTTTCCTAATTGACTGCTGTTCCTGGATTTGATGTAAGTCTGATACTGAACTGTTTTTGGCACTGGACTTTGTTATTGGATTATCCCTGGACTGAAAACTGACTGATCTTACCTGTGAATGACTTTGGACTGCTTATTTTGAACTTTGCTTAAAAGTTTCTGGAAGTAAAAACCTACACTTACTGTACAGTGTAACTGTGTGCTGTGTGTGTATTATTCAACACTTCTCTCACTATGTCTCCCTGTATGCACTCATTCTTCTAAAGGGGAATTACCTCAACAGTCTCTCCCGAGCTGAGTTTCCTCCACAATTGTGGCTGCCTCTTGGTTGTGATAAAAGCTTGGAGTTCCGCTCTTTCATCCTCTGCCTTTTTTCTCCCCTCAAGTTCTGCTGACTCGGAGCTGACCTCCCTCTGCCAGTCAGTCCTGGAGGAATTGAACCTCTGCCTTTTCTACTTGCCCTCTTCACCCCACCCGACCTCCACTGTGGAGGAGGAGGAGGAGTGGGAGAACGGCTGCTCCTTCCTGCCGGACCTGCTCATCTTCCGCATGATCGTCATTTGCCTGATGAGCGTCCACAGCCTCAAGAGGGCAGGTAAGTGACACACCTGGGCAGGTTCAGAGCTAGGAGGCTCCGGGTTCCATATTCCTATTTTCTGGGTTATACCATACAGACATTTTTCCTTCCACCCCCTCGGGTGTGGCTGTGACTTTCCCTGGAGGCCTGCTTGTAGTGGGGTCTCTATGACTCCTCCATATTACAGGTAGTCCTTGACTTACAACAGTTCAGTTAGTGACCACTGGCAATTTTTAGCACAAAGGCAACGTTTGACCTTTGAGTTCTTTCAAAAACCAAATTGAGTGCTTTGTTCCTTCCCCCTTTATTTCATCCTACCGAGCAAGCGAAAGAGGCTGTGATGACCTGGGGCATGGCACAAAGGCAACCCGGCCAGATAATAAGAAAGAGTTCCTTTATTAGCTCCAACTTTGCCCCCAATGTCCTGGTTACCTTCCGGTCTGGAGAAGAACTCTCCCAGGAACCTGCAACTGCCTTTGGCTGCAGATATTCCGATCCAAAACAATGTAAACAGAAAACTTTAAACTACAAACCCAACAAAGCAAGATAAGGTAATAAATCCAGCAGGGCAAGCTAAGGAGTTCCAGAAGTGAAGTAACATGGCAGTAAATCCAACCAGTTGGGAGTCAACAGCAGCCAACATTAGATAAACTCAATGTTTGTTCCTGACAAACACCCCACCCAACTGCTTTTCCTTTAAACTCCCTCCTCAGGCATACCTTGTGAAGGGAATCAGGGCCCTGCATGCCGTAGGATGAGGAGGGGTTGGGCCTTGGCCTGCCTCTGAATCCCCTCTACCTTGTTCTACCTCTCACCTGCTCTGCCCAGCATGACTTTGCCCTTCCCCAGTTTCCTCCGCAGCCAACAGAGCTTCTCTCCTCGGACTCCAATGGGTGTATGACAGAGTCTCCCTCTTTCTCTCCTCCCTCTCTCTCTCTCTTGTCCCCCACTCTCTCTTTTCTATCTTCTCCTTGTCTCTTCTCTAAGTTCTGAGCCCTAGGAAACAAGAAGTTATAGCAGCAGTGAGAAAAGTGACTTATGACCGTTTTTTCACACTTACAATCATTGCTGCATCCCTACGGTCACGTGAACAAAATTCAAATGCTTGGCAATAGATTCATCTTTTATAACGGTTGCTGTGTCCCAGAGGGTCATGTGATGCCCTTTTGCGAAGCCAGATTCCCTTAACAACTGGGCTCTTAACGTAACAACTGCAGTGATTCACTTCACAAACGTGGCAAGCAAGGTCGTAAAATGGAGCAAAACTCACTCTGACAAATGTCTCTCTTAGCAAATAGAAATTTTGGGCTCCGTTGTAGTTGTAAGTTGAAGACTACCTGTGTTGCTAAAAGTGGCCAATGCAGCTCATAACAAGTAGAATCTGTCCATGGAGAGGCTCCGTCATCCAGGTGATGTGTGTCCCAATGGTGCTTTTCCAAAATGCCAGTGGACTTCCTTGGTTTTTTATTTCCTTGAAACATTTCGCTTCTCATACAAGAAGCTTCTTCAGTTCTGACTTTGCTTTAGTCAGAACAGAAGAAACTTCTTGGATGAGAAGCAAAACATTTTCAGGGGGAAGGGAGAAAGAAGACTCACATATCAGTATAAGATGAATTCAGTCCTTAAACTTACCTCTAATCTATGAAGAAACCTATTTCTCCATCTTTTCCTATTTTTAGAATATAAAGGCATTTGAAAACTTTAGGTTAAGGAATGAATGTCGTTAACCTAAGGACAATAAATGTCTTTCCGCTGCGGTTTAGCTAACATGGGCAGCCAACCCCTGTTTGCACCGGCTGCTTGATAATAATAGTATTATTAATTGGTGTTAGTGTTTGTTTCTTTTTAACTTTTTATATTTTAGCTGCTTATATGTAATAATAAGCCTCCCAGAGTTACGATGGGTGACCAATACATTTTGTAAATAAATAAATAAATGTTAAAGCAGAACATGGATTTTTATTGTTACTTTTTTTTAGTTTGGGCCTTGTGTGTTCTTTGTCTTTTCTGAATTCAGGAGTAACTCTGGCTGCTTCTCATTTTTTCTGCAGGCTCCAGACAGTACAGTGCAGCCATTGCATTCACCCTGGCCCTTTTTTCACACCTGATTAACCATGTCAACATCCGCCTCCAAGCCGAACTGGAAGAAGGAGAGAACCCAGTTCCAGCCTTCCAGAACGATGGCACCGGTAAGGACACACATTCCCTGGAGAGCTGTTCTTTGGGGGCAAAGCAGATGGGGTCCAACAGGAGCCCCCTTCGTCCCAGCTCTTTAGGACCAATGCATGGAGAATCAGCATATTGCCTAGTTGACTTAACAGATTGTGTTTCTCAGTGCTAAAGGCAACCTATTTATTTTAATTAGATGCCACCTTTATTATAATTTTTATAAACCACTCAAGGCAGCAAACATATCTACTACTCCTTCCTTCTATTTTCTGTACAATAGCAACCAGGTGAGGTGCATTGGGTTGAGACAGGATTGGCCCAAAGTCACCCAGCTGGCTTTCATGCCTAAGGCAGGATTTGGAAGTCAAAACCTCCTAGTGATTGGCACAAACTTACCAAACCAATTTTTTCTTTCTTTTTTTTTATTTTTTATTTTATTTTACAACAAAAACAACAAATAAAACCATCTTTCAATTTTACAGTGTGTCGGTTGGGTACATATATCTTGTGCATATGCTAGTATTATTATACATTTATTTAATAATATTCACAATTTATTCTAATCAACATTCTATATCATATTGTTCCATAATTATATTATCATTAAAGTTTTAATTTCAATTCTAGGTTATCTTTCAAAAACAAATCTCAATACTTACTAACCAGCTGTTTTCTAGTGATTGGCCCAAAGTCACCCAGCTGGCTTTCATGCCTAAGGCAGGATTTGGAAGTAAAACCTCCTAGTGATTGGCACAAACTTACCAAACCAACGTTCACGCCTAAGACAGGCACTGTTTTCTGGTGATTGGCCCACAGTCACACTATTGATTTTCATGCTTAGGGCACGACTAGAACTCAGAGTCTCCCTGTTTCTAGTAAAATTGGGAATTGCCCCTAATTTTACTTGTTTGACAGTACTGAAAGGGAGTGGCTGTTTGAAAGAGACACAGGGGACTGGTTCAGGCGGTCCTATTTGGAGCCAGGCCGTGTGAAAAATGGGTCATTGTGCATGCACACAAGAGAGAAGATAAGCCTTTGCGGCGGCGCTTGTGTGAGTGGAGCTGTGTGTGTGAAACGGGTCACCTTTCACGTGGCCTGGTTCCGAATGGGACACCGCCTGGACCACTCCCCTGTGTCTCTTTCAAACAAAAGAGAATGATCTCTCTCACCTGTTGCTACTTGTCTTGCCCTCGGGTGCTTTAGAGCAGTGGTCCCCAACCTTTTTTGTACCAGGGACCAGTTTCAAGCACAAACACTTTTTCGGGGGGGGGGGGGGAATCCGAGTTTGGTGGTTTGCTTGCAGACGTTTCATTACCTGACTAGGTAACACCTGATGTTGTTACCTAGTCGGGTAATAAAACGTCTGCCAGCAAACCACCAAGTTCAGGGAGCGCCTCGGCCCTGCCTCCCTCAGCCCCATCCCTCAGGTGTCTGTCTCGTTCCTCTCTCAGTCGTTCTCTCGCTGCTCCTGTCGCCGCAGCTCCTCCGAAGCGCCCGTTTACCCCCACCCCCACCCCGCCCGCCCGCGCGCGGTTCAATCCACAGTGCTCCGTTCTGCCTGCCTGCCTGCCTTCTTCATTTCGGAGCAGCTTCGGCTGATAAAAAGAGGCGAATAGTTATTATTCTCAGCCGAAGCTGCTCCCAAACAACCAAACAGGCAGGCAGGCAGAACGGGGCACTGAATTGAACCGCGCACGGGCAGGCGGGGTGGGGGTAAACGGGCGCTTTGGAGGCGCTGCGGCGACAGGAAAAGCCACCCCCCCCCCCCCGCTTCTTTGAAGCAATTTCTTCCTGGGCTGGTGGAGGAGCGAGAGAGCTACTGAGAGAGGAACGAGGCGGGAGGAAACCGAAGCTGCTGAGCCAGAGAGCAGGACAGGCTTCTGTTGCTTCCTCCCTCCCCTTCTTTCATTTGTGTCCTTGATCCCCGATCCCAGCAGCATTCACCGAAGGCGAAGAAAGCCGCCATTTTTTTTTATTTATTTTTTTCTTTGCGGCCCGGTACAGAGTGCTCCACGGACCAGGACCGGTCCGCGGCCCAGTGGTTGAGGACCCCTGCTTTAGAGAATAGAATACAGAATAACAGAGTTGGAAGTGACCTTGGAGGTCTTCTAGTCCAACCTCCTGCTGAGGCAGGAGACCCGGGCAAATGGGCTGTCCAATCTCCTCTTAAAAACTCCCAGTGATGGAGCACCCACAACTTCCGGAGGGACTGTCCGGAGGGAAGTTGTTCCACTGATCCCTGTCAGGAAAATTCCTTCTTAGTTCTACGTTGCTTCTCTCCTTGGTTAGTTTTCCTTTGGGAAGGCCAAGAGGGTGGGGTGAATCTCACCCCGAGGAGAGTGAGACACCAGGGCAGGAAAGAGTCTTCTCCCTGGACCCCACCGGCCGGAGTCCTTGACCAATAGGGTCTGTAGCACGTCCCTTCTGCCAGAACATTTGATGGCTCGGTTCCTGGGTGGAGAGGTTCATTGTGTCTCCTGCGTTTTGAGCTGCAGCTGCCTTTGTCTATTCTTGCAGAGGGCCCAGAGGCCCAGGAGACGGCAAACTCCGTCGAGAGAGAAAGTGAAGCTGACTCGGCTGGCCCCCGGCCCCCTGGGGAGCCACAGCAGAACGACAGCCAAAAGGGCAAAAAGTATTCGCGCCTCTCTTGCCTGCGCCGTCGCCGCCGGGCCCAGAAGCTGGATGAGAGTGACCTGAGCGAGGGCTTCGACTCAGATTCCAGTCCAGAGTCCACCAAAGCCAGTGGCGCCTCGGAGACGGGCTCCGAGAAGAGCGACGAAGAAGCCGAGGCGGCCTTTGACATGGAGTCTGATTCCGACATGAACAGCCAGGAATCCCGCTCGGATCTGGAAGACATGGAGGAAGAGGAGGCCGAGGCTGAAGGGGGCAATGGAAAGTGGGGCCAGCCCCGGGGTGTCAAGAACGGGACCAGGGGAGCCCCAGACTTTTTGGCCAGTGAAGGGGGTCGGCTGCCAGACTTGAAGGGCCCTGGCCTCCCCAAGACTGACCCTCCAGAGCCTGTGGCCAACGGGCCGGGCTCCTTGGGTGGCAGTGAGGCCAGCATCGCCAGCAACCTGCAGGCCATGTCCACGCAGCTCTTCCAGACCAAGCGGTGCTTCCGGCTGGCCCCCACTTTCAGCAACGTCCTTCTGAAGCCGGGCTGTGGGCCGCCCACTCCGAAGGAGGCAACAGGAGATGGCAAGCCTTGCGTCAACGGGGACGTGGAGAGGTCCTTGGCACCTGAGCCAGGTGAGGGCTCGTTGGTAAGGGAACTTGGCTTCCTCACTGCCTGTCGGAAGGTTGCAAAAGGGGGTCATGTGACCTGGGACCTCAGAATGGTCCTCAGTGCGAGTCAGCTGCCAAGGATTTGAATTCCGCTTCCAAACTGCTACACTGCTCTTCCAGATTTCCTTCCTCCCCCCCCCCTTTTTTTTTTTAGTATGGCAACTCCTAAAACAGGCATAGGAATGTTTTATGAGTTGACAGTGGATTTAACCTGCCTCTCGGACTGAAAATTCCCCAAATAGGCCCATTATAAAGCTGTCTTTTGATGCTGGGCACAAATCTCTGCTCAAGACATCTGCAAGTGGGTGGGTGTCTCTGTACAGGAGGTAGTCCTTGAATTACAACGGTTCATTCTGTGATGACAGCCCTGAGAAAAGTGACTTTTTTTCGCCCTTACGACCTTTGCAAGCATCCCTCATGGTCACGCGATCCAAATTCAAATCTTTGGCAGCTGACTCGCACTGAGGGCCATTCTGAGGTCCCAGGTCACGTGATCCCCTTTTGCAACCTTCCGACAGGCAGTGGGGAAAAGCCAGGTTCCCTTAAGAACCGTGTTTGTAACTTCACTGCAGTGATTCACTTCACAACAAAATGGTCATAAAATGGGGCTAAACTCCCTTAACAAATGTCTCCCTTAGCAACAGAAGGTTTGGGCTCAAATTACGGTTGTAAATTGAGGACTACCTGTGGATTCTAATCCCATAGTCCAGTGATGGTGAACCTTTTCGGCACCAAGCGCCCAAACCAGAACACACGTGCATGTGCGTGCGCCAAAGCGCCAGAAAACCAAAGACCAGCTGGCTAGTGTGTGCATGCCTGGGTTTTTGGCCATTTTCCAGGCTGTTTTTGGGGCCGTTTTTCAGGCTGTTTTTGGCCTGAAAAATGGCCTGTTTTCAGGGCATTTTCTGGGGCATTTTCAGGCCGTTTTTCAGGCATGAAAATGGCCCACAGAATGGTCTGAAAAATGGCCTGAAAACACCCCAGAAAACGCCACAAGAATGCCCTAGAAAATGGCGCAAAAATGGCCTGGAAAAGGCCCGAAAAATGGCCTATTTTTTGGCCAATTTTCGGGCCCTTTTCCAGTGCTCTGGTGCCCGCGAAGACCAGCTTGCCAGTGTGCATAAAACCAGAAGAGCAGCTGGCGATGGCGCACATGTCCACTGAGGGGGCTCTGCTTGCCACCTCTGGCACGCATGCCATAGGTTCGCCATCACAGCCCTAGTTCCTTGGCCACGCTCCTTTCCAGCCCTACAATTCTTTGCCCTTTGCTGACTTCTCCAATCTCTTTGAGTTTTAACAATATGTTTCCCTGGTCTTAAGACGATGTTTCCGAGTCAGAAGAAAGCATCTCCAGCAGCAGATCCTGCAGGAACGAGCGTTCTCTCCAAGAGAAACTGGAAATTATAAGTGGCGAAGGATTGCTGCCCACTGTCAAGGTGTTCCTGGACTGGCTGAGAACGAACACCGACCTCATCATCATGTGCGCGCAGGTGAGTAGCTCTTGGCTCCTGCAGAAGCCTCTCTTCCCTTCTCTTTTGCCGCCTTGGGTTTCTAATGTCCCAAAGGTGCTTTTTCAGGAGGCCACTGGACCTCCTGGTTTTTCCTTGAAGACGTTTCGCTTTCTCATCCAAGAAGCTTCTTCAGCTCTGACTGGATGGTCACTTGGAGGCCACTTGGAGGCCACTTGGAGGCCACTTGGAGGTTTATCTGTATCCTCAAGGTCACCTGAGTGGTGCTCCTGGTTCCTGTAGTCTGCATTTTTCCCTCTGGAAATCCATTCCTACTCCCACATCCTTCAAAGGGTGTCCATCCAAAATTGTATAGCTAAAAATATGATGATGTTCTCTGGTTGGGTCATGAAATGTCTGCAAGAAAACCACAAAGTTCAGAGAGCCCCAATGATGCCACTGTCTTATATCACAGCTGATTTAAATCCCCCTCCATACCTTTGTGCTTTCTCTCTCTTTATGGAGCAGCTCTGGGTTAAAAGCCACACTATTTGGGCCCTGAAGGATCTCCCACTTTATCCTCCCAATAATTTGATGCCCTGGCTGAGGAAGAAGAAAAGATATCTTCAAATATTCAAACTTCCCTATTGTTTCCCACCTTCTCTCCTTGCAGAGTTCCCAGAGTTTATGGAATCGACTTTCAGTCCTCCTAAACCTGCTTCCTTCAGCTGGAGACCTGCAAGATTCTGGTACCCTTCTATGAAACTCTTTTCTTTCATTATTCCCCCCCCCCCCAATTCTGAATATGCATTACTTGTGTGGTTCAGCCTTCACTATTTGCTTAATGGTTTTATACTTCCCCTTATGGTCCAATTCTCCAGATTTGTTCATTGGCACAAGCAGGAAAGTTTTGTTTCATTTTGCCCCTTCCAGCAGCCTCTTTTGCAAGACCACTCAGCAGTTAACATTTTAAAGCATCTCTGGTGTCAGAGGTTGGTCAGAAGGAACCCTTCTTCCCTTCATGTCTGTGGAGATTCTCAGTCAGCCAGCTCATAGTTGTCTCAAAGGGGCTTTTTCAAAAGGCAACTGGGTTCTTTTTTCCCTGAGGAAGAAGACATTTTCCTTCTCACCCAAGAAGCTTCATCAATCATCCCCCAGAACTGATGAAGCTTCTGGGACCACCCATCTCCCTCAGAGTGAGTCTGGACGGTGTACAAATAGACATTAAAAAAGCTATACAGGTGATTCTCGGATTATCGTCACAATTGGCCCTAAAATTTATGTTGCTAAGCAAGTCAGTTATTAACAGCAATAGCACTTAGACTTATATCCCGCTTCACAGTGCATTACAGCCCTCTCTAAGCGGTTTACAGAGTCAGCCTATTTGCCCCCAACAATCTGGGTCCCCATTTTACACACCTTAGAAGGACAGAAGGATGAGACAACCTTGAGCTGGTCAGGATTAAACTGTTGGCAGTGTGCAGAGTTAATCTGTAGTACTGCATTCTGGAAGGAAGGAAGGAAAGGGAGGGAAGGAAGGAAGGAAGGAAAATAGCAATAGCCCTTAGGCTTATATACTTCTTCACAGTGCTTTACAGCCCTCTCTAAGCAGTTTACAGAGTCAGCCTCTTGCCCCCAACAATCTGGGTCCTCATTTTACCAACCTCAGAAGGACGGAAGACTGAGTCAACCTTGAGCCTGGTGAAATTCCAACTGTCAAATTGCAGTCAGCCGACAGTCAACAGAAATAGCCTGCAGTACCGCACTCTAACCACTGTGCCACTGTGGCTCATGTTCACTCATTAAGTGAATTTTGCTGCATTTTATGACCCCTCTTGCCACAGTTGTTAAGTGAATCACTGCAGCTGTTAAATTACTAACATGGTTATTAAGTGAATCTGGCCTTCCCCCTTGACTTTGCTTGTCAGGTCACAAAAAAGGAATCACATGACCCTGGGACACTGCCACTGTCATAAATGTGAGTCAGTTGCCAAACATCCGAATGGTAAATCACATGACCATGGGGATGCTGCCACGGTTGCAAGTGTGAAGAATAGTCAAAAGCCAGCAACTTTGAACGGTCACTAAATGAACTGTTGTAAGTCGAGGACTACCTGTATATAAATATTATAACAAAATAGAATAAAACTATAAAAATTCAGAATTAAAAAGGGCCCATGAGAGGCTTCAGGTCTTTCCTCCCTCTGGGCTCTGTCGGTGATTGTCTCCCTTCTTGCTGCAGGCTTGTTCCTCTCCAGTGAAGTGAAGAGCATGTTGTCGGGCTGCGAACTTCCTGACTTGAACACTTCCTTGCTCCTGCCAGAAGACGTGGCCCTCCGCAACCTGCCCCCTTTGAAGAGCGCGCACAAGAGGTTTAACTTTGAGCAGGACCGGCCTGTCCTTACCGAAGTGGAGGAGGTGATGGAGATTTTCCCGCCTCCCCCCCCTTTTTTTTACAAAAAATTAAGAAAAAAAGATCGCAAAAGTTGGATTTGGGTTGAGTTGAGGATTATAATGATAATAGCACTTGGACTTTATATGCCGCTTTTTACAGAGTCAGCCTCTTGCCCCCAACAATCTGCATCCTCATTTTACCGACCTCAGAAGGATGGAAGGCTGAGTCAACCTTGTGCCGGTCAGGATTGAACTGTTAGCAGTTGGCAGAATTAGCCTGCAATACTGCCATTCTAACCACTGGGAGGGAAGGAAGGAAGGAAAGAAAGAAAGAAAGAACAGCAATAACTCTTTGACTTACTGTATATACCCCTTCACAGTGCTTTACAGCCCTCTAAGTGGTTTACAGAGTCAGTTTCCATTTATCTAATCTCTATTATATCTCGCTGTCTATCCTATCTATCTATCATCTCTATCTATCTATCTATCTATCTATCTATCTATCTATCTATCTATCTATCTA